AATATTTTTTTTATAATTTTAATATTAAAACTAAGAAAAATAAAATAAATATAAACAATTGAAAAAAAAAATAAAAACTTTTTGAATAAAATTGGAAAGACGCGTTGCTTGGAAATCCAAAATGATAGCATCTGCTCTGATAAGACTGATATCAGGGGGATGATGTAACAATTGTGACGTAAATAGGAATTTCGACTTCCAAGACCAGCACTTTTCTTTTATTAATTTTTTTGTCTGATAATAACATTAAATTCGATGAATTTAAGATCAAATCCCACCAAATTTTAATAAAGAGAAACCATTCAATATCTGTTTTTTTATGATTTAAATTTAAAATTTTAGTTAAAAATAATCAAAAACTTTCATTCGAATAAATAAATCATTGCTCCAACGCCGACGCTTTGATCGCAGGTCATTTTCTTCTTTGCTTTTTAAAAAAGAAAATGTACTGTTTATTTTAGAAAGGAAGGACGGCCAAACGCGGAGTCACTCTGATCACAGGTCAAATGTGAGGCAGGCAGTCCTTGCTTTCTTAAATAAACAATATATTTTCTTTTTTCAAAAGCAAAGAAGAAGATGATTTTCGAACCAGACCCTTCAGGCAAATTGGTTTCGTAGCATGTTTTAAGGCATTTCGATTAAGGTTAAATCTTCATTTTGGTCTCTGAATTATTATATGAACCTTCGATTTGATCCTTAAACTAAAAAAATTCTTGATTTAGTCTTTAAACTATTGTACGGACTCCCGATTTGGTTCCCATTGTTTATAATTTGGCCTAAGTTGATCCTTGAACTATTGTACAGACTCCCAATTTGGTCCTTACTGTTTACAATTTCACCCCAATTTGGTCCTGAGCTATTATTTAATAGAAAGACCAAGTTGTGGTTAAATAGGTAAACAGTACGGACCAAATTGGGCATCCGTACAATAGTTTAGGGACTAACTTGGGAGTTCGTACAATAGTTTAGGAACCAACTCAAGGGTCCGTACAATAGTTTAAGGACCAAATTAGATATTTTTTTAATTCAAGAACCAAATCGGAGGTTCGTACAATAGTTCAAGGACCAAAATAGGGGTTTAACCTTCGATTAATTGGTTGAAATTTTAAATTTTATTAATGTTAAAATTTTTTTTTTCAATCTCTAAATTGTAAATGATTTAAATTTTTTTTCAAATTACAGAATATTAATAAATTTTTATTGAAAAAATAAAATATTATATATTTAAAATATAAATTAAATTATTTTTATAATATTTTATTAAAACATTATATTTATAATTTTTTAAAATAAAACAAATAAATATTAATTTTATATATAAACATCATTATCAAAAAATTATTTTATGATAGATTCTATTAATATAGTTTAAATTAAGAGGCATTTTAAACACTGGCATTAACAAAACATAATTGTAATGAAATCAAACTTTATTAATACTTGGATTCACATGAATGAAAGGAAAGGGAGTGGTGGAAGTAATTAAATGATAAGAAATGTGGTTTGAGAGATGATAAGAAGTTGGCCCCCTCGGGATTTGGATTAAGATTTTGCATTAGGAGAGTTACTTGTCAGCATGTGAAATTAGAAAACAAAAGATGACAAATAGTGAAATAGATCAAGCGACGAAGTTTCAATTGCCAACAGTCAATCTCCGCGTGTTTCATGGCAATTTCACCGTCAAAGAGGTGCCAATGTTTAAGGAGAAAAGAAAATGGAATTTTCTAAGTCCTATTCTCTTGGCTTTGGTAAAGGATGAAAAAGAGAAGGGAAGAAATCACCAAACTCCATCGATATCGTAATTTCTTATTTTAATTATTATATTTTGGCCATCTGACTTTTTTAGCCTAACAAGTTTTCTTTGTTTACCATTAAGAAAAAGAAAAAAGAAATAGAAAATATGTTTCTGTGTGAAAGCACCCAACTACCATAACAAATCCTTTCTCAGTCTCTCATATGTTGTTTAAGGGTAGGGAGATGGTATATACAGCTAGCAAAATTACAAATTTTGTTATATATTAGTAGTTTTCATTATTTATATTGTTAAAATTGATAATTTTTGTCACTTATATTATTAAATTGATAGTTTTCATTATTTGTATTGTTAAAATTAACGATTTCTGTTACATACTATTAGTGTATAATGAAATGTGTAATTTTACATGATATATATATCATTATTCTTTCAAAGTATGTTGGTGTTTTTAAAATTCAAAGTGAAAAAATCAGACAAAAAAATTGTTTTCTTCAAGGAAGAAAAAACGATTTGTTGACTAAATTAAATATGATCACAGTTATCAATTTATTTAGACAATCAAATGAAACAGAAGCTTACATTTTTCCAATTAATGGGAAAAAACTTCCTCTTGACTAAACAAGCCTAAAGAAAAGACAGAAAGCAAAAAGATGAAAATGATGGGCATTTTGCCAATTTCATAGGCAAGAGAGTATAGCACGATATTGTGCTAGCAACGCTACGTGTTTTGCACAATGAGAAGATCGCAGTACCAAACTTGGTAATCATTTTTCCTTTTTTATTACTTTTTATTATTTTTCAGTTAGTAAATCTCAGTTGTGCTTTTGTAAAATTAAATACTAATTAATGTTGGGGATTTGCGTTCTAGGGAAGCAGTTTAAGTTTAAAAAATGCAATGTGGAAAGATATGATTCGGGAACAAAGGTTGGTGGCGTATATTGCACCGGAAGTTTGCCATTGTGTGTTTCTTCAATGGGAAACCATGGAGCGGCCACAATGGACTTAAATTACTTTACCAAATTGGAGCTTTATTTCCATTAGGACATTCAACATTTTACTCGATTGATTCATAGAAGTTTCTACTTCTCTTTTACAAAAGTAATTAAAAATTAATTTGACAAGATTAACTTAAGTAATAATGCGTGACTTAAATTTTGTTGAAAATACAAATTTGAATTCCTCTATTACTATTTCACTTCATCTTTGCAAGTAGTTTTGTTTGGTAACTTGTGATAAAACACGCATGTACTCATTAGAATAATCAGTTGATGAAGAGTTTAAATATGCATGTCATTCAAAGAAAAAGAAAAATTCATAACTAGCTAATGCTTCAAGATCCAATATAAGAAGAAATTATTACCTTAGAGCAATATCTTCGAAACTTTGTTTAATCTAATGTCTTATGTTCAAAAAAGTTTTTTTCTTTTTTTTTTTCTTCGATAAATTGGATTGTATTATATTATAAAATACTAACTATTAAATTAAAATGAATTCTTTGATATCGGAAGAAAAACCCTCTCATTAAATAATTGATATTTTATAATTTAATAAAATTTGAATTGCAAAATACTAAAATCTTTTATATTCGAGTCTTTCGTAAAGACTATTTGAAATAGTTTATGTTATATAATTAATAATTGATAGCTAATATATGAAAATTAATAATTGTTATTATTTATAATTCAAAATATTTAATATGTTGAATTAAAATAAAAAACTGACATTATTTTAAAAAAATCAAAACAAACAGTCTTCAATATTTTATTTTATTTTATTAGACAATCAAGATATGCAGCTTCGATAGTTGGATTGATGCTGTATTTGCATTTTTTTTTAAATTTAATTAGTGCATGACAAGAATCATGATCCTCTAGAAGGGAAAATACGCTTTTGAGTGCGATTTTGGCGTGGCTTATGGTCGCTTTATACCAGCTTTATACCAACTTTATACCATTTGGCACGGGTCAGATCTCATCACTAAGAGCGGACACCACCAAAAGTTAATTACTGTAAGATAATGCATAGAAAGATACAAGGCATTTCAATCCAATTCGTTTAAAGTTACACCATGCAGTTTCATTTTCAAGGACCCCAACGATTATTTATCTTATTTTATTTTGTGGAATTAAAGAACTCTCAAGTAGGCATTTGGGCCTTCAGACCTAGTGACGTTAAATCATGTTTAAATGCATCCTTTTTCTTTATACAACGATTCAAATTTGACTACTTACAAAATTGTTCAAAAAAAAAACCTCTCGAGTAGAACTATATATCATTCTTTATTTGATCTCAACTAGATTCAAGTTTCTATAAACTTAAAAGTAGCTCAAAAATTTTAGGAAAATAATTGGTATATATTTGGTTTAATATATTTTTTAATTTTTTTAATTATGAAAATGTGATATAATTACAATTTGATTTTGTTAATTTTT